GCTGCGAGAGCTGGCCAGCTCTTTTCCATAAAGGAAAGAGCTCTGGCCAGGCAGCCTCATTCAGGCACTCGCATGCTAGCGGCAGCGCTGCTGGATCAAAGGCTCGCGGCTGCTGGCTGGCGCTGAGAGGCGAGGTGCAGCACGTGCGGTCGTGCAGAGGAGGAGGGCGCTGCTGACGGCAGCGCCATAGCCCAGCCACCATAGCTGGTGGGCTTGGACTACAGTGAAGCACAGGGGTGGTCTTCGGGTGAAAGAGAGGACAGGTGTGGGTGTAGTCAGGGGATAGGTGAATGATGATGATGATGATGATGATGATGATGATGTGAGGGCACGTACCTTGTATTGGCGATGGTCTGCATGGGCGACATCTTCAAGTACTTCGGGCTGCCGCTGATGTCAACAGTTGCATGGTCTTTTTGTAGTCTGTAATAGCTGTGTAGGAGTAGGCTGGGCGCTGAGCGCCAAGTGGGAGTGTGCAGGAACTGGACTCTTGTGTTGGGAGGAGAGAGTATGCTCTCCATGAACATTGGTTTTCAATGCTACGAACTTCCATTGGTGTATTATTGGTGCAATGCTGCTCTCTGGACACGGTGTGACTATTTGGCTTTCAATGTGATGGTGTGATCTGGAATTGTCATCTCGCTGTTACTTATTTTCCTTGGATTTAATTATTTAATTAAATATATTTTAATCAGAAAATACGAGTTAATTAAATAAAATTTAATTTTGGCAGAAGATTAAATGTTTGATTAAAGAATATTTAAATTTGCAACAATTAATTTTGCAAAAGTTAAATATTTAATTAAAGAATATTTAAATTTGCAGAAGTAAAAATGAATAAAGTTTAAGTTTAAACATTTAAAGTTTAAACATAATTTTAATAATTTCATGAAATTTAATCGGCAGAATTTAGCATCCTTACGAAGTCACGAAGTAAGTAGAAGAAAAATGGTAGTAGGAAGGTACACAATTTGCTGGAAAGATTCAACCTTTAATCGCAATAAGAGGTGTGTTTTGCAAAAAGTGAAAGTTCCGTGAAGTTGCAGTTTGAATGTGGCCGTGCTCAGGCCCGATTTGCCTTAATTGGCACGGTGCCTGGCTGGCACTTTACTTCCCATAGGTTGATAGGTCCTTAGATTAGGTTGGGACTAACCCTAATTAGCGCTAATTAGGTTAATCGCGATTAGCAATTCCCTAATTATGCGCAGTGTGAAAAAAGCCACAACCCAAAAAATGCCAACGTAAGTACGAAATAATTTTTTTTTTTGCAACTGTGCGATTTAATGATAACAGAGTACAGGTGTAGATAATCAATCAATCAATCAATCAATCAATCAATGGTGAGTCATCCAATGCCGGTCTGCTCCGATACCAAACTGTTGCATACTCGTGAAACACAGTCATAAGTATGGCACAGATTCCCAGAACCGACCAGATAATACAGAGTTTATACAAATACAGCGGAAGACTTGAGATACATGGATTGACTCAGACCTGACTCAGACTGCAGCGAAACACTCACAAACATCCATCGCTGGTGTGAAGCCCTGGCCTTGGACATAGAAGAAAAGGCCGGGGGAATTCTCATACATGGATGAATGGAGGGAGGTGAGATGAAGGGAGGAGGGGAGGGAAGATGACGTCAACTCGATATTCCCAAAAATAGTATCTTGAAATGTCAGAAGTAACGAAAATCCGAAATGTCGCGAACGCAGAGTCTCACAGTGTCTCAGATATTGATCTCACAATATCAAGGTACTTCTTCAGAAGAAGATGAAATCAGCTCCCCAGAGTAGTCCTCAACCTACAGTCTCGATGTCACTGTCTCCAATGTCATCAGAACTCGTCACCATCCTTCATACTCATAGTAGTCCCGTAGGAGTAACCAGGAGTAGACTTAGAGAAAGAGAGAGAGTGGCGGAGGAGGAGGGGAGAGAGAAGGCGAGGGCTTTCTCCCTGGTACCTGTCCTGGTAGCTATGGYGCTGCAGGAGGCTGGCGCTGGGCCGCGRGCTGGGCCRGTGGCTGGCGCTGTGCCAACTGCTGCGTTGGTTCCTCCTTGCCGCTGTGCTCGTCCTCTCTTTGCGGCTCATGCTAACGCTGCTGTGCTGCGCTAATCCTGCTAACGCTGAAGCGCTGCGATAATCCTGAAGACTAGTCTCCTGTCTACCAACCTACCGACTGAGGCTGGTACCCAGCTCTGATATAGTGCTGGGTCGGCCTCAGTCCTACTGAGTTCCTTCGGGTCTGGACCGTTGATCAGGCCCAACGGTTCAGATCCGATTTCGGAATCTGAAGAATGGGCGCCAAACTGCGTCGCCGGCTGGGCCTACCGATGAACCGTACCTGGCCTTACCAACTAGCCGTTGGGTCTGATGGGGTCCAAACGAGGCCTACCGGACCCTAAACTGAACCGACGGGTCCTAGGCCTACCTGGACCTAAACTGGGCCCGTCGTGACCCGTTAACTGGGCCTGAACCGTGCCTGCTACAGAACCGGGCCCTAACTGGGGCCCGTGTGGTATCAGTATGCCACACACAGTCTGGTACAGTCATGCTTTTTTTGAGTGTATAGCGAATATGACAACACACACCCGCGTGTAGTAGTGTATATTTTGATGTTCTAGCGGTAGATTTATTCGATTTTGCTTATCCTATTGATGGAAGTAGCCTTTCTTTATCTCTCTGCGTGCATGGCTGAAAAACTCTCTCTCTCTCTCTCTCTCTCTCTCTCTCTCTCTCTCTCTCTCTCTCTCTCTCTCTCTCTCTCTCTCTCCATACCCAACTAAGTC